AGCGATATGCAGCAGTTTAAGTCGCCAAACTCCCTCCTTGTATCACACAAAGCAACAGAAGATAGTAGAAGAAATGCATAATAGAGAGAGTAAACAGAGGTGTGAGACAAAGGAATAGTAATAACGAAGAACAATTTAGTTTCATTGGAAATTATAAGTCACAAGGAGTGGATGCATTTGCGCCCGCCATTGACAACGATTTTGAGCCACATCACCAATTGTTTCCAACCATTGGTTTTTACCGTTTCGAGGACCCCAACCAGGAAGTCTACATCTTTCTACGTGGCTTAAACTACCTGTTGTGGATTTCATTGACTGGTGGGGCCATGTTTTGGTTTGACCGCCGCTAGCTCTTTTTCAGCCTAACCCTATATCAGCTAACATTGCCCATTGTCGAGGAAGGCGATGGCTAGGAATACGTAACACATATCCAAACCAGCTAAGTCGATGTAGCTTCACAGCCTCGTCGATTGATTGCAGCTTACCTACCACTCGACCGATGCCTAACCTCAATATTGCTCACGTTATTATACAACTTCACACGGGAGATAGAACGCAGGCACCTATGATCACAGACAGCTAGCCAGCACGTTCATGTCTTCCACTGAAAAATGGTCAGGTCTCACAGCCATAAAGGAGGACGGAGCGGACTGTTGACCAGTACACACGTCCTTTGGTCGATAGTCGGATATCACGTGTACGCCAGAGACGTGGTGATGAGGAACCAATTGAAAAGGAATCTATAATTCTCCGCTCGATTTGTTGTGTTTTTCTAAATGCGTAAATGAAATTTGGAAATTATTTAATTCAATTTCGATTTTCCCGTCATTTGATTGCACCGAAGTGTTCGGTTTCCGGTTGACATGTCGGCTCCTTGTACAGATGCTTCGACGATGACTAAGCAGTGAAATCAAGGACGCATGCCTCGTCCTATTTGAGACTCGTCAGCTGGATGTACCTACATTCCCCAATGAGTGACGGCCAGCGGGTTTGAGCCTCAGTGGGAACGCCATCACTCACTGGGAAATGCAGGTACGTGCAGCTGACGAGCGAATCCCAAATAGGACGAAATGAGCTTGATCTTGGAGTCCACTGCTAGTTAGCATCCACCAATTAAATTCTAATTAAATGCCCAGACATCATCGAAGCATCTGCATAAGAAGCCGACATGTCAACCTGAAACCGAACACTTCGGTGCAATCAATCAATCAATCAACGGGAAAATCTAAACATTCAATTGAACATAATTAATTCAAATAAGGGCACTAGAAATGAGATAACAGTCTTGTTCCAAGCTAGTATATGCAACAGGGGGAATGTATTCAGGAAGTGGTTAAATTTCAATAAACTATATATATATATATATATATATATTCGAATGTACTTTTACGTTGTATCCAGAGTAAAGAAATTGTCTTTCTAAAAAAGATCACGTAGAGAGAGAGAGAGTGAGTGAGTAAGAGAGAGGGAGAGAGAAATAAAACAAGAGAGGAAAAAACCAACAGTTGAGTAGATATAATCGCATTTTGTGTGCATGCGCAAAAAAAACACACTAACAAAAAGCTCTTCCATACTTAAAATAGTCTGATATGCAGAAAAGATAAGAGAAGAGGGTGTGAGATAGAAGCATAGATAGAGGTAAAAAAAAAAATAATAAATCTAATCATAGTAACTCTCATTTGTGCATGCATGCATGCATGTATGCATGGATAGATGCCTCGTAACATATATGACCATTTGTGCTCGTGTGTGTGTGTGTGTCAGTGTGAGAAGAGTAGGTGAGATGCATGTCAGTAGCAGTGGTGGTAATGAAGTTATGCAATTAACAAAAAACACAGACCTCAGAAACAAGACAGACACATACCTCTCTCTCTAGGTGATCAACATATATATATATATATATATATATATATATATACATGGGAATGAATGGCCTACAATCACTCTACACTACTTCACTATTGCTAATCATACCACCACCATCATCATCAATTCTATGAATAGATAAATAAAAACAAATTCTAAGGGGGGGGGAGAGAAAGAAGAAAAAACTCAATTTTTCGATACGCCCATAAATTTTCAATCGATGACATACACAGGGATTCTAATAGTCACGTGTCAATGCTTATATGTATATAAACAGAAGAACAAGAAGAGATATATAACCTAACCTTACCTAATCTAACCTAACCTAACTACCGAAAGCAACATATCAACAAGAACAATTCAAGTTAAAAAACTTCCGAGCTTGAGGTTTTCTGAAGCAATCGAATCGCTATAAGATATGGATAAAATTGTGTAGAACAATAATAAACAATTGCATTATCCGACTTCAAGATGGCCTAATAGTGATGACACATATGACAAGATGCAAAGTTTTCTAAGCACCTTGAGCAGAAATCTTTGAATATTAGGTATCCGACTTGCTTCTGTCAAGTGTAAGATGATGCTACATGATTGAAGTGGACTACATCGACTCCTAGCTTAAAGAAAGGCAAGAGTGAAGTGGCGCATTGACACTACTAATTCAATGATTTAGAAAGTTTCATCACATCCAATCAACTGATTATTCACGGAATCTCAGAACGGATACAAAAAAGGTTTATGTGGTGTTTTGCCAGTTGACATCATATCTGGCTGGTGGTCATCGATCAAAGGACGTGTGTACTACTGCTCACCAGTAGTTCACTCCATCCACCTCTTTATGTTAGTCAGCGAGATATGACCAGGGAAAGCAGAAGACATAAAAAGACTGGCTAGTAGTCTTTAGCTTAGACGTTGACTGTTAGGTAGGTAGGTAGGGAAAGTCAATCGATATGCATTATGCAGCATCGCTTCAACTACCAGCAACATCGCGGATGAAGATGTAGAATTCAGAATCAGAAAGCTAAGATACACCTTCATCAACCTGAAGTCAGTTTGGAGGTCTTCTGCTTCATTCAGCCAGCCACCATTAAGAACAAGATTCAGATTTTCAACACAAATGTCAAGTCGGTCAGAAACTTGCACTGCGTGTCACGTAAAGGATTTCCAACAATCACCTGCAGACTTTCATCAACAACTGCCACCTTCACTGGCTAGCTGGCTGGCTCCATACTGAAGATCAAATGGCCAGTTGGCCATCGTGTGTGAAATCCTAAAGGGAAGCAACCAGTGGGTTGTCAGTACGGGAGACATCGAGGAGTTTGTGTGGTGAGAATGAGGAGATGAGAGATTATGGGCAATCGTGAACCCAGGTGAAGAGGACAGCAGAAAATAGAAGGAAGTGGAGATGTATTGTTGTAGTCCTAAGCTTCACTCGGAATAATGATAATAATACAATTGCATCATGCGATATAATGTTAACTACTATTCTACTTCAAGATCCTGTATGAAGAGTATGTACACATAATCTCCACTTAGATATACTGAGAACTATGTACTGTGTGTAAACATTCTACTTAGAATACTAACTATTATAATCTGAAAGATATTCGTTAGAGTTTAAGTATTAAACAGTTGTGTTCATAGGATAAAGAACCTCTTCCCCATGAACACACACAGTGAAACATCGTCTTCTACTCAAAATCATTAGTCGGATACTCGCCAACCACAAAGATCACGTTTGTGGTGTCCGAATTCGATTCCTAGTTAACGCACTCCTAAACCTCACTTAGTTTATATTATCTAATCTGATAGTAAATTCAGAAATGAAGAGGTGAGGCAGAGGTGGTGTGAGGCTAACAACAGGAACAGAATTATGAAATGTATTTTTTTAAACTTCCTATGGTGATAATGCGTAGATATATATGCGGGGGAAAGAAAAGTAACATGGAAAACCATGAGGATTCACAAATATAAGAGACCAAATAAGAATGGATGTATCTGCACCACTGATAACGACTTTTGAGCAAGCCATACCAACAACAATCTCTCTCTAGCCATTCGTTCTTAGAATCCTGAGGACTTCAAGCCGAGCAGTCTACACCTCCCTATGTAACTAACTTAAACCAAATGCATCAAAGACTCTTTTCTTATCTGACTGCCTAGTTTCAACACAGAACAACTTTGCACAGAGGTGCGACAGGTCAACTTCCCACACTCCCTCCTTGTAGCACACAAAGAAAGAGAATAGAGAGTAAAGGGAGGTTCATAAGACAGATAATACACACTAGTGCTAGAGAAAAAGAATAGTAATATGGAAGAACAATAGAATTTTATTACATATTATAAATCACAAAAGGTGAATGCATATGCGCCAACTATTGACAACAATTACGAGCCATATTATCGATTTTCTACAGCCTTCAATGATTTGGTTCTTAGCATCCCGAGGACCCCAGCCACACTGGCAGTCTACACCTACCTACATGGCTGGCTGGCTTAAACTAACTGTCGTAGATTTCACTCCCTGCTGAAGCCATGTTTTTGTCAGACCACCATTAGCTAACTATTTTCCAACCTGATCCATCCTATGTCAGCTAACACTGCTCAGACAGGAAGGCGACGGCCAAGCATTCGAAACACATGTCTTAACCGTTCCATTCAATCGATGTAACTTCCTAACCTCGTTGATTGTTATCCCCCTTCTTGTCTAGCACTTGACCATGCCTCAGTTAACACGAGAGATAGAACGCAGCACCAATAATCAAAGGCAGCTAGCCAGGCTTTTCATGTCTTCAATGCTTTCAATGGCCATAACTAGCTGACAGCCATAAAGAGGAAGATGGAATGAGCTACTGGTGAGCAGTACACACGTCCTTTGGTGGATAGACAGGCAGATATGATATCACGTCCACGCCAGAGATGGAGTAAGTTTGCATATGCCATACCATCCATAGTGAGATTTCGTCAGGAATTACTCCGTTGGAGCTTATGCAACTTCCTGAACAAGTGAAGTGGTCAACACATTCTACCATTTCACTCTCTCTCTCCCCGTCATCTAATCAGTTCATATTGCTCATTGAAAACGATGGAAGTGACACTCAGTGAATAGATAGAACAGACAAAACAATGCTTACTTTGTTCATCAAGTGGTGATGTCGGTGGCATAGTCATGTCAAGAACTAATCCACTATCACGACTTGTATCATCACGCATACCAATAGACGAGGAATTGCAAACACCACCACCACCACCGATTAGTGGCATTTGACAATGATCTAAAAAGTTGCTGATATCATTGTCTGTTTCACTTATCCCACCACCAACACCTGTATTCATTGGTGGTGACCATGGCCATTCGATGAAAAGTATTGTTGCTGCTGTTGCTGTTCAAGTGGGTTAGTATTAGCCTCCGATTCAAAATTATCCCATAGGACATCTACAAAGAAGAAGAAATATATATATATATATATAATTAAAACAGTTAGTCCCTTTGATAAATTTGAACAAGGTATTAAGAAGACAAATTTCGCGAGTTGATATCATCATTTCGTAGTTTATTTACAACCGTTTAACAACTAACATGGTTCACAACAATAGAATAAAGTTCATGAATATTATTCAGTTAAATAAAAAAACCAAAAGTACATACTAATGACCAATCATATTTAGATAGGTCATTTTAATAGTTTTGTTCCCATCCAGTATAAACGTTCCCTACTGAAATGTTTGTTCTCAAAGGCCCGAAAAATATGCACGAGTGACACATTGATGGATGAGTTTCGACATATACTTTCAGTTTTATTAGCTATTGGTTATCCAGAAAACTTTATCACTTGTCACAGTAAAGGAAAACCACATCTTGAAAAGACAGCTTCTGTACCAAAGAAAGCTATCTTTATTAGCCTAAGATTCAAGGGTGACCAGATTAGGCAGTTGACAGCTAGCTCAAAGACTTCGGTCAGCCATCAAACGCACATTCTACGCCGCCACATCTCTTTTTCTCACATGCCGAACATTTTCGATCCCGGAACCTATGATTAAAGGACGAAATTCTGTGGACTTCAAACTGTATCTACAAGTTCACCTGCAGCTGCGGTGACACTTATATAGGTAGAACTAACAGAATGTTCCAATGTCGAAAAGAACATGTTCCAAAATGGCTACTAAATCATGTCGAAAATCCTAACGCGATTAATCTGAATAGAAATCCATCAGCATCATCTATTGCAAAGCACTTATTAATGTCAGGTCACAAAATCAATATTATTAATGACTGTTTCACAATTATTTCACATAACTCTAATTCAAGGTTGGTTATTGAAGGTGATGGAAGCACCTATGTGGATTAATCACATACAGCCTAAACTGTGTGTACAAAAAATAAAATAGACCTCAATCTTCGCCTACCATGGCGGGTATACATGACCTATCTAAATATGATTGGTCATTAGTATGTACTTTTGTTTTTTTTATTTAACTGAGTAATTTTCATGAACTTTATTTTATCATTGTTAACCATGTTAGTAGTTGTAAAGCGGTGGTAAAGAAGCTACGAAATGACGGTATCATCTCGCGAAATTTGTCTTCTTAATGCCTTATTCAAATATACATTTAAATTTGAAAATGGTTGAAAAATATCAAAAACAGAAAACCACGTGGGATTCAGTTTTTAGGTTTAATCACGTTCTCTTTCTGTGTGTTTCGAAGGAACTCCTGCTCACACAGACACGCACGCACACAAATACAAAAGTTAATTACGCAAAAGAAACAAAAATGAAACCAGACCAAAGCGAACTGATAACACACAAAAAAAGAGCGGTGAAAAACACACACAGGCACAACAGAAAGCAAGTACAAAACGACGCAGCGATAAGAGACACAAACGACAATAAAAATAATCATGATAATAATAATGATAATAACACCTACTGGATTTATGAGAAGGCATATTTTGGCAGATTCCAGGCAATCGTCCGCCTAACAGTACCGATTTCGATGTAGCCCCACCACCGCCACCACCGGACATGGCTTGTTTTTGACTGGATATAGACAAACTACCACCACAGGCACCAACACCAACACCAGAGGTAACAGTTGTTTTATTCAGTATATTACTCATACAACTACCACCACTAAAAGAACTACATCGTCCAGGATAAGTTGATGAGATTGACTCCATATAGGCAGCAGTAGTCGTATTAGTAGTATTAGTTGGCGAATTATAATTCTCTCTCAAAATATGCATAGAATATTGTCCAATTTCAGAGGACATAGAACTACCACTTCGATGACGACCTTTATCTCTTGGATAAGAGGTACCACCACCACTACTACCACCCGCAGCGGCGACAGCAGCTGCTGAACCCAAAGAATGCGCTGCAACTATTTAAAGATTAGAATAAATAAATTAAATCAATAAAAAATTGAAATAATAAAATGAAAAAAAACTTATGGTTAGTTAATTCAAATCAAAATGTACAGACACACACACACACAGTAAAAATTAACAAGTCGTGTTATTTATTTATAGGAAATGAAATATATCACGAACCAGATCAGCACTTAATAATGACTAGGATTGTTTTCAAGTATTGGATTTGTAGGGATTTTTGTTTGATTGGATGGAAGATTTAATCATGAGTCGACATCAGTTAGAGAGCCATTGGAAAACCAACTGGGAGTACTGGACAGCCAGCTGTTTCGTCAGCCTAGTTTGGGACTCTGTCTCATCAGTACGCACTCACCCCACTGGGGTTCGAACCCAGGACCTTCTAGTTACAAGGCTAGTGAGCTCGTAGACCATTGAGCCCTTGGGTGTGTACTGACGAAGAGTCTCAAACGAGGCTGACGAAACAGCTGTCCAGTACTCCCTGTTGGCGTTTTCCAGTGGTTCTCTAACTGATGTCAGCTCATGATGAAATCCTTCTTCGGAAGTGAGATCAAGTTATGCAGCAAAGGTTTTGATAAATTCCACCATCACCCAACCAGCGGTTCTCAAAAGAAATGTATTGTTACACATACAATTATGACGGTTAATTCATATGAAAAAAGTGGTTAGAAAGTCTGAAATCGATTCCAGAGTTTCAGTTATACTAATATTAGAACAATTACTACACAACAAAACACAACACATGTCAATATACACTGATCACCACCTTATCATGTCACATTTTATCGAGAGAGAAAAATTGATTATCATTACAAATTAAGCCTCATTGATTGACAGTTAGTTAGTTAATTAATTAGTTTATACACTTCACACACTTGCATAATTTTCTCTCATATAAAGCTGATCACAATTTTACAGGAGTGTTAGTTTTTGGGGTTCGATCTGATGTCTAATATCGCTTAGAGGGGGAACCAATGAAAACCATCAGAAAGTACTGGGCACCACCTCTTGTTACCCTTTGCAGTTTGGGACTCTCTCTACACCAGTGTCCGGACACATGACTCCAGGGATTGAACAAGGCGAGTTCGTCGAGCATTCTTCTAGACACATTGGAGGGAGTCTAGTTGGTCAAGCATGAATGGGGGTCGAGCTTAAAAATCACGAATCGAAAGTGATCAGAATTTAAAGCAGGCGCACTACTGAAGGGTCGCCAAACTAGGACGAGACAGTTGTCCACAGTACTCCCCGTTAATTTTGATGGTTATCTAGCTGATGCCGCCAGCTGGCGATCAAACTGGCGATCTGTAATCAAATCCCTGCACACTAAAACAGTTGAGAATTAATCTAATATTCACTAGGGACTGGCTGGATACAGGGAGTTAACCGGAGTTCTTTCTAATGAGAAGTCGCAACCAGTGTGGAGTCTACCAAGTCAGATAAGAGGTCAGTTACTCGCGCGCCTACAACATTGACTGGCGGTGGCACAATTTGAAAGTCTCAAGGGTCGGGTCGGGTCGGGTCCCAGTGGCTGAACGGTGCACGAGGTCACCTCGTAACCGGAATGTCTCATGTTCGAATCCCGGTGGGGGGTGTACTGCCGTAAAAGCCCCAAACCAGGATGAAACAGTTGTCCACCAGTACTCTCTTCTGGTGTGGTGTAGTGTAGTGTAACCAATCAAATCCTTGCAAACCAACATCTGACAATCACTATAACAAGGTTGAATAGGGGCCACTACCAAAAACAAGCACTCGTCAAATTCATAAGCCAATCGACAGAGCAGTAGAAATATATTTGGAGCCGCTACATACTACTCGCATTATAGATTGATTAACCTTCACGAGAGATGGATCCACTGAGCATACACTTCTACGCAACACACATGTACACACACACACACACACGCTTAGCTTTCAAACATACCTAATATCACATTGCAGCATCAAAACCGGAGACACAATCATGTCTCCTACATAAAAAAAACAGATTTCGTCAACTGTCTAGGTGGGGATGACAGGGTGGAGGGGGATGGTAGCGTACTTCAATACTTAAATTGTCTCAATGTGAATATAGATAGATAGATAGCTATAATATATATGTGTAAATTTTTTTCACAGAAATGTGAAGGTATTGGTATAAATTATCAAGGTCACAAATTTATGTATATATTTTTGGTTAAATAATACAAATATCTATTAGGTAACCATGTGCCTAGCATATGCAGTGTGTGTGTGTGTGATTCACATGATAATAACAATACTACGAACAACAACAACAGCACTAACAGCAACAAATGAAGGTCATTCACATTTGAACAGTTAATACAACAAAAACAAAAAACAGAAATACCCACGCATACAAAGCAGGATACACGCGTATATGCGCGCACATCACTGAGATAAAGAAAGATGGAATGAAAGCAAAAAAAATATGCAGCAACAAAGCTTACAACACTGAGAGACAGACAGAAAGAGTAAAAAAAATATGAAGTAACGAATCAAAATGTCAGTGTTTTGAACACACATAGAAATTGAAGAGGAGACAAATAACAGTAATAAGAATAAGAATAATAAAAATAATCAGTTGTTGATGATGATTAGTGTCCTTTCACATCGTGTTTATCACGTGCCTAACTGTCTAGAGACAGTTTCAAAATCATAACAAAAATAAAGTAGACAAAGAATTACCTCCAAATAAAAAAAACAAAACATAAATGAAAAACCAGTCAACAGTCAAAGTGGATTCGACTGGATAGGAGAGGATCGCAAACATGACACTAGGTAATCTGTTTAGCTGCCTGTGACACTGGCTGGCGCGGTTGCGCTTCGTAACCAGGAAGTGTTGGGTTCAAACCCCGGTGGGGTCGCATCGATGAAGAATCCCAGACTAGGATTAAACAATATTAGACGGAAAATGTTAGCTGATATAGGGTCAGGCTGGAAAAGAGTTAGCTAGTGGTGGTCAAATCAAAACATGGCTTCATCAGTCAATGAAATCCACAACAGTTAGTTTAAGCCAGCCACGTAGGGAGGTGTAGATTGGCCTCCCAGTTGGGGTCCTCGGGACGGTAAAAACCAATAGTTGGAAACAATTGGTGATATGGCTCAAAATCGTTCTCAATACCTAGCGTAGATGAATTCACTCCTTTTGACTTATGATTCCCCAATGAAACTACATTGTTCTTCGTTATTACTATTCATTTGTCTCACACCTCTGTTTAATGCCTCTATAATGCATTTCTTCTACTTTCTACTCTTGCTTTGTGTGATACATGAAGGGAGTGTGGCGACTCGAACTGTCGCACATCGATGCAAAGTTCTATATCGAAAACAGACAGACAGACAAGACGAAACAGCTGGCTGTCCAGTACTCCAAGCTTTTCCAATAGTTCCCTAACTGCTGTCAGGACGTTGATCAATGCAGTAATCTATTTATTTCATATGTATTCCTCCTGTCAGCAGCAGCAGGCAGACAGGCTGATATTATAACAGCACTATAAACTTTAAATCAGTCGCATATCCTTCTCTGTATGGCTGTGAGGCATAATCATTCAAAGTGGAAGATATTAGAAGGCTAGAGGTATCTTTGGCCACTTATATATTTGCGTTCTGTGGTATAATACGGTAAGTAATGTTGAGGTTAAGCGTTGAGTGCGAAGAGAAGAAGGGAAGTCAATCGATGATGTTGTAAAGCAGCATTGATCGAGACAGCTTGGACACGTGTGTGTTGTGCATACCGAGCAATCGCCTTCCTCGTTAAGCAACATTGATCGACATAATATCTGGTAAGAAAGGAGTTAATGGTGGTCAAACCAAAATCTGGTATCAATCTATGAAATTTTTGATAGCCAATTTGAGCCAGCCAAAGTAGGAAGGAATAGACTGCTTGACTGAAGTCCCGGGATTCTAAGAACCAATTAGCTGAAGACTCCTGGTGATAAGCCTCAAAACTGTTTCGGTGCAGTAGCATTCACCGTCGGTAATCTCCTAAATACATTAGGTGCGTATTACTCTCTATATTTGCATTCTTTCTTGACCTCGCCCAGTTTACTAGCCATTTTCAAGCCTCGGAAAAGAGGGAGGGCGTTGGTTGTGGGGTTAGCGACTCTACCGCGGAAAATCAATCAAACTTCAACAGAAACTTCAATGCACAGGAAAAATATACTTTTTTAAAAATTCTATTTTCTGTTCATTGTTATTTTTATTCCTTAGCTTTCTGAGAGGAACATATCTTTTTTAGTTCCATATGTTAAAAACGACAAAATATTTCTTCATGCGACTATTCTTGTTTCATCGACTTTGAAAGGCCTTCGACAGACAGTGTTGACCGAGAAGTGATTCGGAAACATACTTCAACACTACGGCGTACAGTATCCAAGTCTTTATCAACCTTATTCAACAAATGGCTATATGACAATGCGTTCCAAGTGTCAGATGATCCGCGACGGGAAACTAACTCAACGAGGCGTTTAAAGTGAACAGAGGAGTAAGAGAAGACAGTTTGCCTATTATCAGCCACGATGGCATTCTTAATTGTGGTAGACTGGATTATGCGTCAGATTGTGCGCGCTGGGAGTTAGGATACAAGCATACGCTGGACCACCCGATTAGAAGACTTTAGAAGATATGGATTCCGCAGATGATATGCGTCTAATGTTACACAAACTCGCAGAATTGCAGGCGGAAACCATCAAACTGTCTGAAGAGGCTGGCAGTGAAGATAGGATTCCAGGTGAATATAGATAAGACAGAGGTGATGAAGATAACCCCAACGAACTGTAACAAGGTTATCTCCTTCACTTATCTAGGAAGCATCGTTTCAACTACTAGCGACATCAAGGATGAAGATGTCAAAATCAGCCAGAATGGGAAAGGCAAGATACACCTTCATCAACCTGAAGCCAGTTTGGAAATCTTCTGCTTCATTCAGCCAGCTAGCATTAAGAACAAGATTCAGATTTTCAACACAAATGCCAGTGAAGTCAGTCAGTCGGTC